TGAGGCGTGCCAAAATTCTAATGGTTGGGTTTGGGGATTGAGACTTGGTTTGACGACTCTGATGTCCAGGCTTACTAATGCTAGATGGATGACATCTCGCACCAATCAGGACCCTTGACATACTGCAATTTCTCGGGATAGTGGGACCTGGGAGGTGCAAGATCTCCACAGTGGGTGATGGGATTATGTAGCTTCAGCCTTTTACAGTAAACGGGGTCAGCTATTATTCCGTTACTCAAAGCTTCCTTAGGAAGCAGCATCCGTCTCGGCCCTGGCCCTCAACTGCGAACCCAAGTCCTTGCAACCCTTCACTTTCCAAAACAAGACAACTGAGGGGTCATGTTATGGTTGGGGATTCGAATTGGGAGGTTCAGGGGTCGCGGTTCAGGATTGAGGGTGGGGGTGTAAGGAGGCGCAAGCTTTCAGATCCATAGATCCATATCTTGTAGCTACAAACCACGCCTTGGAGGAGGAAGAGGCACCCGAAGACCTGCCGGCTGCCCATCTGCTGGCTGAAGCAGTTGCCACCGGGGACGCAGCTTTCCACCAGGCCCATGTGAGGGTTTCTCAAAGCAGCTCCTGCAGTCCCACAGGGGACCCCGCATAATCTTTCACAATCCCCTATACAGACTCATGGTCGCCACCAGTTCGCCACCCATAGATTGAGACTTTAGGACTCTAGGAATACTGGCAAAGAGCATGGCTCCCACGTTTCTTTTGTGGGTCCGGGTGATCTTGTGTCTGTGTTGTGGTCAGAATTTATACTGTAGGTGCTTGTGACGAAGGTTATTTGGAGTGTTCGGCTGGGAGTGTAGGAGTGGGCAAAGCATGAAGAGAGTTGGGGACTTACGTGGCGAAGAGATTGCAAGGTCTGCGGAAAGAAGGTCGTAAAACCCGGTGTCTAGAGCACAGGAAACTGCGTGCGTGCATCTCGCATGAAGTATTCGGGCTTAGCTATGCATGGCCTATTCCGGATATCTTCCCAGGTTGGTGGTCATGCAGGTGAGTCTTCAGCATTGAGGGGAGTGTCAGAATCGCATCGCAGAAAGGGCCGGGTTCCGAACAGGCTCTTCTGGGAAACCTTGCCTCCTTCCAGTTCCCACCTTGCGGGACTCCATTTCAAAAGACAGCCTTTACAGTCAAAGACCTGAATCCCTTCCCGAATGCTCTGAGTGCCGTCAAACCCTTAGATCTTACTATATACCCTTATATACACCCTTATGTATCTCAGTTCCCATGTAAGTTTCCACGTTCTTCTCCATCTTCCTCTCCATTATCCCCATAGCCCTTAACCCCTGTGGAACTTTCAAGTCTGAGCTTGAGGAGCCAGAGCCAGTCGACGAGGACACGGACATGGCGTTCCAGGAAAGGTTACCTCAAGATGATTTAGGTGATTCTCTATAGGTGCCTGGGCGTAGTTTAGCATCTAGGAAAGGAACCGAATGGAACCTACTAGCTCCAGCACCACTGCTACTTGCACAATTTTTGTTTGGTACCTAAGCCGTTCTGAAAAGTTGGCTCTGCTTATTTGGGCTCAGAGTACTGACTAGTTGGATTACATTGGCTGTCCGTTATGAATGTTTGCATGCCTGCAATTGAAGTTCAAGGATTCAGGGCTTGTTTTTTTTGTAGATGGGTCATTTCTGGGCTATGCGGTGCAGATCCTACGACCTAAGCTCAGCACAAAGCGTGAAGCGCGCCAAGATTCTAGGGTTTTGGGTTTGGGGATTGAGACTTGGCTTGACGACTCTGATGTCCAGGCTTACTAATGCTAGATGGATGACATCTCGCACGAATCAGGACCCTTGACATACTGCAATTTCTCGGGATAGTGGGACCTGGGAGGTGCAAGATCTCCACAGTGGGTGATGGCGTTATGTAGCTTTCAGCCTTTTACAGTAAACGGTGGCAGCTACTACTCCGTCGCTCACGGGTCCATTTCCCATGCTGACAACCCTTGTTCCCTACGGCATACTTTGAAGCTTCACTTGGAAGCAGCATCCGTCTCGGCCTTCACCCTCAACTGCTAACCCAAATCCGTGTCACCCTTCCCCTGAAAGTGCCCAAAACGAGACAACGGAGTGAGGATGTAGGGCGTAGGGGTTATGTTATGGTTGAGGATTCCAATTGGGAGGTTCAGGGGTCTTGGTTCAGGATTGAGGGTGGGGGTGCAAGGAGGGTCAAGCTTTCAGATGCATGTCTTGTAGCTACAAAACACGCCTTGGAGGAGGAAGAGGCACCCGAAGACCTGCCGGCTGGCGATCTGCTGGCTGAAGCAGTAGCCACCGGGGACACAGCTTTCCACCAGGCCCATGTGGGGGTTTCTCAAAGCAGCTCCTACAGTCCTACAGGGGACCCCGCATTATCTTCCACAATCCCCTATACAGACCCAGCGTCGCCACCCATAGATTGAAACTCTAGGAACACCTACTGGCAAAGAGCATGGCTCCCACGTTTCTTTTGCGGGTCCGGGTGATCTTGTGTCTGTGTTGTGGTCAGAATTTATACTGTAGGTGCTGCGACGAATGTTTTTGGAGTGTTCGGCTGGGAGTGTAGGAGTGGGCAAAGCATGAGGAGAGTTGGGGACTTACGTGGCGAAGAGATTGCAAGGTCTGCGGAAAGAAGGTCGTAAAACCCGGTGTCTAGAGCACAGGAAACTGCGCGCGTGCATCTCGCATGAAGTATTCGGGCTTAGCTATGCATGGCCTATTCCGGATATCTTCCCAGGTTGATGGTCATGCAGGTGAGTCTTCAGCATTGAGGGGAGTGTCAGAATCGCATCGCAGAAAGGGCCGGGTTCCGAACAGGCTCTTCTGGGAAACCTTGCCTCCTTCCAGTTCCCACCTTGCGGGACTCCATTTCAAAAGACAGCCTTTACAGTCAAAGACCTGAATCCCTTCCCGAATGCTCTGGATGCCGTCAAACCCTTAGATCTTACTATATACCCTTATATACACCCTTATGTATCTCAGTTCCCATGTAAGTTTCCACGTTCTTCTCCATCTTCCTCTCCATTATCCCCATAGCCCGTAACCCCTGTGGAACTTTCAAGTCGGAGCTTGAGGAGCCAGAGCCAGTCGACAATCGGCCAGCAGGGGATGTGCACGCCCAAACGGACACCGACATGCCGTTCCAGGAAAGGTTACCTCAAGATGATATATAGGTGATTCTCTACAGGTTCCTGCAGTAGCCCAAGTTCGGCGTAGTTTAGCATGCGGGAAAAGAATCTGCTAGCCACCACTACTACTTACACCTTTTTTCAGAAATAGGTACGTGGTATTTGGTAATAGGACCCCAAGTCATCGTAATCTAAAGTACCTGTTCAACAGTACCCCCCTTAAACCCTCAACCCTAAACCTTGGGTACTGCCCCCGCAAGTACGTGCTGTATAAAAAATATAGCATAATTACATATGATTATAGCTGTAGCCCTTTAGATCACCTGCATTCGGGACTGTTACTGGCTGGGAGCACTACCCAAGCCTGGACCCTAAACCCTCAAACCCAACCGAAACCCTTCGTACGGAACCAGCATAGAGGTTGGACATGCAGGTTTGAGGTCGGCCCGAGGGCTCGGATATGAGCTAGAGTCTAAACTACATTCCTTAAAGGGGACTATAGTCTAAACGCTTTAAAAGGTGTTATATAGCGGATAATAATGGGGTTATATGGCGATAAATAGGGTCCAGGATGTAGGGTTTACGGGTCTAAATTCCTTAACGCGGGGTATTTATGAGATTATATAGGGGAGTTTTAGAGGGCTTATGACGGGGATGCTATATGCAAGCGCCAGGGCTCACAAGTTGTTGGTGGCTCCTGATTGAGGGAGTGTGAAGAGTCATTACACTATGTACCTTACAATCACCGGGTTGTGGGAAGATTCCAAAGATTGGGGGTTGCTATGAGAAGATTCTTGTGTTCTGGGGTCTAAATAGGGGCTCCCTTGCAGATTTCATGACAAGGAGGTGTGACGTTCTGGTTTCCGAAGGAGAATTACCTGGCGCGCCTATTGAATGGTGGAGAAACACATCTAAACGCTAAGCCTGCATTCCAAAAGCATAATTTTCGGGCGAATTTTCCAGTGTGCCTGTTGCACATCATGCTCGCTGCATACGCTTGCAACAAAAAAACTGGGCCTTATTCGCCATGGCAACCTCACTGTTCATACCCTAAAAAAGCCAAAGTATCCATTTGCAACCTAAAAAAGCCAAGATCTCTATTTGCGCCCTAGAATGCATGCCTCAAACTTTGAGTAATTTCGCCCAGTACCGCAACAAACTGAACTCTAAAGCCCAGAGCCCCAGAACACGACCCTTGCCTGTGAACTTACTGGAAATGAGTAGGGAATAAGGGAATGCAGTTCTTATATCATCCTTATGTACTGTATTTCCTTATTCCTAGTATAACCCCAATATATACCCCATTCTAATGGAGTAGTTTCCATTCTCTTTTCCATCATCCCTTTATAACCCCAATAGATTCCCTTATTCTCTACTAACACTCAACGCTAAACCCAAGATAAGTTCCATAAGTTCCCTACTAACCCTAAACCCTAAACCCTACACCCCTTTATTTCCCCCCTAAACCCTAAACCCTAAACCCAAAATTCCCTACTAACCCCGCGGTAAGTGAAGGAGCTCGAAGGTGGCGAAGCTCAGGCCTCGCGCGGGTGGTGCTCTCGACGACGGGACATTGCCGAGGACGCAGATGTCCTAGACGAAACAAAATGAGCCATAGTCTCAACTCCCTAGAGCAGGCTATATACGGGAGTATATAGGGTTTAGGGTCTAAACTTGACAAGCACAGTAGTTTTCGTCTGCTTTGCTCCATCGTTCCTTACTGACAATGTAACAACCAGCAAACCCTAACCCTGCACTGGAAGTTCTTTCTAAAAAAGTTCTACTTTCCGTTACCTATGTATCATCCTAATAACCAGCTGCAAATATAATTTCTACCAGGGGTTCAGGGAACTTAGAGTAAACCTCACAAAAGCAACAGGAGGACAACGAAGACCTGCCTGCAGAAGGCTGGTGTGCTCGCCGGAGACCAGCGGCGGAGGAGGGCCTTCAGAAGTCTTTTAGACTTAGGCTCAATATACTACACAGGGTTGAGGGTTCGGGTTTAAGGTTTAGAGTTCGGGGTTGGGGGTTAAGGTACAGGGTTCAGAGTTAGGGGTTAAGGTTTAGGGTTCAGGGGTTAGTTTCATTGCGGGATAAGGGCTTGCGCTTGGCAGCCACGGGTCTTCCAAGAGGTCGAACTGGATGCAGACAGGCCTCGAAGGTCGACACCGGAAATCCGTGTGCCTTGTAGGTTGTAGGGCCTCTGTCTTCAGGGTTTTACTGTAGACTTAGAAGCAATCACCCTCTTATTAGTAGGTATAACCCATAAAACCTGGGTGGCCTTCGGGGTAGTTGAATAACTCCCTTCTAAGTTTCAGAACCCTAAACCCTAAACCGCGTGATTTCGAGAGTGAGTATGAATCGAAGCCCTTTACAGGTGAGTGGCTAACAGGTTGACAGTCTCCTATAATTCCCCTAAACATGTCATGCCATACCACTTCTAGAAGTTGTGGGGTCTCATTGGAGGAGTGCTTATATGGGAGTACTATGCTACAACCAGCTTTTACCCCTGCAGTCCCTCACAGCTACGTAGTATGGATAACACTGTAGTACACCATACCTCAAAATCCCAAGCCCTGATAGCTACCCGCAGTTGTCAAGGAGCCAGATGGAGGCGAAGCTCAGCCAGCTGGTTGGTGTGCTCGTCGTCGGGATGCCGCTGAGGACACGGGAGAGTCCCAACATATTGACATACATGATTGTCAATGGGGACCCTGATAGTTTCTTTAAAGCCCCTACATATCCCCAGGGTCCTTGCGGGCCCCCCAATTAGAAAACTCACTAACATGACTCTGGTGGGAAGTCCAAACGGGGATCCTTCTGTCCTATCAGATGCCTACCTTCTTGGTTGGGGCTCCCCGTCTGGGATCCCATTAGAGCAACCACCCTAGCCCATTCGCCGTCGAACCCCACAGTGCCCTGTCTAAGACCCAACCCTCAAGACGGGCTTTGAAGGAGCTAGAAGGAGGCGAAGACCAGCCAGCAGGGGCTTGGTGCGCTCGTCGAAGGAACGCCACGGAGGACGCCATTGGTTTTGGCATAAAGGAAAGTTATGCATTCATAGCATGCTATGAAGGTGTGTATTGGGGTTTGTGCCGGATATGATAAAAGATGGTGAAACCTAGGACCGCCACAGACGGGATCATCACCTGAAGCTGTTCAAAACCAGTCGGGTAAGTAGAAACCCTGCCAGAACCCGTCTAAGACATGACTGCAGCTTCGAAGCGGCAGGAGGGCGGCGAAGAACAGCCCGCAGAAGGCTGGTGCACTCGCCGGAGATCTTCACCGGAGGACGGCTGCAGCTCGATGTCTTCTATGGGTCGATTGATGCCTATAATGCCAACAGGTGATGGACAGATATCAGAATGTCAAGTTCGGAGCGAGTGCGTAAGACGTGATTTGTGGGCTTATTGCTTTTCAACATGCCGCTACTGTATTGGAGGGATCTTCAAATGCATCAAGGCATCAACCCCTGTTCCACACGGTGTCTTCGTTTCAAGGCGCTCTTTGCCGGTATCTCTCCTAATCCCTGGAGTTTGGAAGTTCTCAGCCCTTGATTGCTAGACGCCTTTACCCCAGAGCATGTCACCATACTTGTGCAGCGAACTTTACGCGTGGAGCTTGGGAGGTAAACCAGGATGGGTTGGGTGTATGTGTAGTACAAAGTTGCGCAGACATAGGATGACCCACCAGTACGCCTAAGCTTTTTTGGAGGAGTTTGTAGGCCAGCTTGGGCAGGTTCTGAATGGAAACAGGAATGAAGCGATACTGGATACCTCTAGCTTCAAGAAGTTGTCAAACATCGAAGCCGCTCCCTTGTATAGCTCTCCACCCGTGGGAGAAGTCGGAAGCGTCAAGCCCTACGCACCTCCCCCGGAGCCCGAAACTGCTCCATCCCTTCATCTTGCGCCCATCACCAGGTAACCACC